TTCAGAGAGTTTTTCATAATAGCGCTATGCAAAGCCTGTTGTCATATTGACTACTCTAAGTAGTCAATATGTCAACAGCTGCACCTGTTACTTTTTCCATGTTCATTTTCCATGGAAATTTACACTTGACTTTCAAAAGGCAATGAAAGAGGTAAAATGAAAAATAGACATCCTGGAAGTACCAGCTGGACAACATTGATACTTTGAGGTATCTGTATTCCGTTTTTTGTTCTGTATTTGCTTCCCTAGCTTAGCTTCTTTTTGATTTTTAGTGGGGATAACGCATCAAGAAGGATTTTTCTTAAGCCAACAGTTGTTTTCTTTTATGTGTGAATTATTTCTTGGTGTAATTTGCTACTAATATCCCTTAACGCATTTACAGAAACCTTTCCATTTGAATCTCAGCTGTTGTTTGGGAACACCTGACCTCCAAAACAAGATTGGGAAGCAAGAATGCTGGTTTACAGGATCACAGTATTTACATGTTATTTTAAGCATGATTTGTCTGCTTGATCTGCTCGATAGCCTCAGAGCAGTAACATTCCTGTGTCTTCTGCGTTTTTTTTTCTAGTTTGTTTATCTTGTCATGCCAAAAAGGGAAAATATGCTGCCTGATGCACTTTGTTCTGGCAATACTTATATCAACTGCAATAGGTATTTTGGCATTTTGCCTCTTTGCTAGAGGAAAATGTTTTCCTTTGCTGTGGCAATGCTTGTGGGAACTTGTGTGCCAACTTGCCCATCTGAATTAACTAGATTATTTTAAATGGTTAAAAAGTAGGTTCTTCTTTTGGTTCATCTTGAGTTAAAACTGCATACAGTTTTATTCAAATCAATTTTACTATCGATTACACAAATCTCTTAAACGTAGGAGTTCTGCCCGCTGAGGCCCTGCGTCTAATCTGGAATGTTTTTGGAGATGTTACGGCAGTAGAGCGGCTAAAAACTTCCCGAATGATGTAAGTACATATTTGTGCAGAGTACCTGAAAATGTCTGGGTCAGCAAACAAAAAGAAAAAAAAATGCTGTTTTCAGCTGCTGCTGCTGCCCCGGGGTGGGTTCCATGCATGGGCCGTGCTGGCCCCAGCACCGGCGACTAGTGCAGCCACAGGACCCCCAGGCTGGGGCATCTCCCTGATTCCCGCAGCATTCCCAGCTACCGTGTTCAAGGAGACACCTGGGTTGTAAACAGGAAAGGCAGTGACTGCCCAAGCACTGGGCTTGGCCGCGTCCTTGCTGGCGCAGAACGAGCTGCAGGTGCAGCAGGGTAAACGGGCGGCTGCTGGGGGCAGCGACTCCGTTTGCGGGGACGGTGCCCGCAGGGCTCCAGCACCACCTGCCCCCGGCTGGTTTCCGTGTGTTGTCTCATTGTCACCAACAGGGTTTGGAGGAAAAAAAAAGCCCTCACTTGCATGTACATGTGCACACTCACTCTCACGCACACAAAGTCAACCTTTTGCCCTTAATTCAAGAAAGATAAATATGATTTTTACAGCCAGCACCACAGATGTTCCATCTGTTGGAGTAACTACCTTAACCTCATTAATGGGCTTGTTACCAGACCTGCAGTGACAGCAATGTGCTGCTTACACAAAGAGGGTTTTGTTTTTTACTAATGTGGTTTTCATGAGTTTTCTGTGACAATTGCAGGAGGTGGTGGTACTGATGCATTAGCAGCTTCTAGCAATTTCCCATTTATGAATGCACTGTTCTTTTAGGCCAGCAGGGAATCCAGCAAGTATCTAATTCTAGCAAATATGTTTTCTATGTGTATGTCTTGTACCCTACATCGATCTTCTGGCTGGCCTGTCCCTGCACTGGGAGTGGAGATGCAAGGCTGGGTGAGCAGGTTTGTTACGGTTCAGGATGGTCTTGTAGCTCCTCAGCCATGGATCTGTCCCACCCTGGCTGTGCTTTTCAAGCCACATGGCAATAGCGGTAGGTGTTGTATATGGCCCCAAAAAGACAGTACACTTCTCATAACTCTTTATTTCCTTTCCATGCACTACTTAGCCCATAAAGAATGCTTTTCCACTGCCCTTGCTTTTCATTCTCCCTACTGCTAGTTATTTCGGAGCATGAAATATGTTGACACAAATATTTTCTTGTTTATCCTCAGCAAGTTGCCATCAGAAAGTCTTGTTGCTGTGTTCTTGAGGACCTTTGGCTCTGCTTGGCAACTCGTGAGCACCGGGGTTAATTCCTTCATTCTAAATGGCATGCTCTAGGGGCACAGCTAGGACCTGCTGTAATGTTACACATTAATTATTTAGTACGACCAGAAAGGAATTTTGCATCACCTTCTGGGTAATAGATTTATGATGCTTCCTGCTGTGCTTTGCACTGTTGCTGCAGCAGAAGCAACAGCAGCAAAAGCAACTGCTCTAAAGGGAGGGAAAGAAAAACAGCAACAACAACACAATAAAAATAAAAGCAAGCTAGGAACAAAATCCTGCAACAAGTTTGCTCCGTGCCCACATGGTGCCTCTGGAAAGTGCTTTGGAGGAGCTGGACGCTGCGGAGGGAGGCGGCGGCGGCTGCGCCGGAGGCTCTGGCAGCGGCAGCGACGCACGGCCGGGTCCAGCTCCCTCCTCGCGCTGGCCGGGGCTGTGCAAGAGCCCCGTACGGACGCAGGCTCCGCAGCGCTTTCCCTGGCCTCCTCCAGCATTTAGCCAGCAGCGGAAACCGTGACTGCCTGGGGTCCCTGCAGGAGCTCACAGTGGTGCCACAAGGAACACTCTCATTGGATTTTCTTCCCTTTGGAGCCTGGAAAGTAGCAAAATAGAGCATCAACCTTTAAATCTAATTTAGCATTTATAAAACCAATATTTCTTCCACATTCTAACATTAGCCAGCCTTGGACTAACTTTCTCTCCTTCAGCCCATCTGCCTCTTGCTTTCCTACAGTAGTTACCTGCGTTTGCAGTACGACTGCAAAAGAAACCACCGCTTCTTGCTGTCCAGGGGAACGTAACTGCAGACAGTTCATCAGCCTCTCCTGTCCCAGACCTGCAGGTAAATCTTGCACAGGGAGACTGGAGAGAATGGCTGTTGCTGTTAAGCCCATGTAATTTTGGAGGATTTTCATGATAAAATTATCAGACCCAAATGCCTTGTCAATGCCTTGGAGAAATGCCACTCTTACCTTAGCAGATGCTTGGGAAGCTCATAACAGATATTGCTTCTCAATGAGTCAGCAGTGAATCATGAAAAGCAAATGGCCAAAAGCCTGTTAGCTTGGTACAAAATATCACATGCTTTTAGGATCCATGAAACCTGCATGGATCCGATTTGAGGAGCAACAGAAGGACCGAGGTTTGCTCCTGCCATCTCATCCCCTGCCCATGGGGGCTGCAGGTGGGTCCCACCTTCCTCTAGACGTAGAGGACTGTGGTCACGGGGGGGTGGATTTGTACTTCACGGGCGGGGAGCAGGCTGAGGGAGCACACTGGTCATTTCTTGAGCTCCTCCAAGATCCAGAAGTAGATGCACAAAGCTACAGGCTGGTGCCGGGAAGATACAGCAATCTCAGAAAAGGAGGAAAGCCTGCCCAAGGCACAGGCCAAAGATATAGACCAATTTATTAATTATAGTATTTTTACACTTATAAATAATAAGCACAGATTATGCCAATGAGGAGTCCTTTAAGTTCACTCCTAAGACCCTGGTGGAAGCATGCATGCCCCGTAGGAGCAAGGCAAGGCAGGAGCACTAGGAGATGCCAGGACACCAAGCCTCTGGCTTGCAAACACATCAGCAGAGCAAGCTGCTCTGAGGACGTGGTCTGCCCTTGGGCCAGCAGAGCTGCTCTTCCTGGCCCTCATCCCTTGAAAGAAATAGGGGAGAAGCCATGCAGGGGAGAATCACTGGGACCCATCAGTGGGGACATAGTGCTTGTTGAGAGATTTTCCTGAAAAAAATGGCCAAAGTCTTGGTAAGCTGCATGTGCTGCACTGGTCTGCAGGGATGTTCACTTTAACACCATGCCAGGACTTTCCTCAAACATGCAAACAGCTGCAGAGGTTAAGTCTAAATTCAGACATTAAGAACTTTGTTATGCTTTAGGTTATTTTGTAAAGTATTTTCTTAATACGCTTCCACCAGGTTCTTCTGTCTACAGTGATTTTCTTGACAGGCCCAGGATGGGCACGCTCAGAGTCTCAGGAGCTTTGCTGAAGAAGTAACTGAGCTGGAATAGCCAAGAGCCAGAACCAACCTCTGCAAGCCAGACGCGATAAGGAAGTGGTGGCTCTGGCCTAGCTACTTCCTGCATTTCCCCTTCCCAAAGGTGAGGTTGGCTTTAAGTGCAGTGCAGCAGCTCTGCTGCTCCCCTAAATGCATGTGGAGCCACGAGCTGCAGGGATCTGCTAATCCTGGCTCGTCCCTCCTACTACCCTGCCCTAAGCGAGCCCTGAATCCCAGCCAGCCCTGGCTTGATGCAGGTAAAGCAGGAGCAAACTCATACACATATTCCCCATTCCCACAAGGCGGTTATTAGCGGTTGGTGACCACTGTATTGCAGCCCTTCCAGGAAGAAGGCACATCGGCCCTGGTGGCAGCGTGACCATGGGGGTCAGATCTGTCCCTTGCTGCCGGTAGCTTGCACAGGGTTTCCGGACAGGTGCTGGAGGAGCGCAGCGAGCAGCAGTGTTGTGGCATCCTCAAAGGAGAGACAACTGTGGCAGCACCCATCTCCTCCCCGGCTGAAGAGAAGGACTGAGACTCGCTGGGCCTGGCTGGAGACGGCCTCTCCCCAGGCCGCCGCTGCTTCCCTGCTCGGAGCGGGTCTGCTC